ATTAACTGAAGTTTTTTGATTGCTTGTTTTGCTTGTAATCCTTCATATGCAGAGCATTAATACTTGTGCTTTTTGTACAAGATTGGTATTAAAATGAAATTAGAACGTAGTGGTGAAAGTAAAACTATCTGTTTGTAAGATTTTGTTTTATGCATTCCTTAGGAAATTGATACTAAGGGTGAAGTGCTGTTTGGAAATTTTATCCATAGAAAAAAGTAAAAGATGTTTAATTTTTACTATTTTGCTAAAGTCTTCCATATATTTTAAATAAGTTTTTATGTAAATGGTTGAGTTATAGTTGAGAGAGTAGAAACCAACTGTATTATAAATGTATAGCAATTTTTCCACTGATAGCAATCTTAGAAGTGGTAAAAAAAAAATAACATTTTTTTAAAGAAGTATTTTATGTGTGTTTGTAAATTACATTTCTTTAATCCTCTTTCACTTTGCTTTTAGAGTAAAGACTAGAAATATTAAATGAGAGATGAAGCATAAAGGGCCATTCAACTTTTGGGTTGATATAAATCCAAATGAATATCTCAACTTCTTAAATAATGTTTTACATTCTCTGTAAAACTCCTGGTATGAGTTAGAGGTATTATATTAGTTGTTACAATTTTAGGGATCATTTTTAATTATTTTTTTTCAGTATAGTAGTAAAATTCAATAATATTCATAGAAAAATTATTTCATTATATTTAAATCTTTGCATGTTTCTATTGCTAAGTATAATCTTTAACTGAAACCATATGTCATTATATAATGATTGCCCTCTGTGAATGACTATAATAAAGTTATCATGTAGCATATGTATAGTGCAGACTTTAAGCAATATATATTATGTTAGATGACCTTCCTAATTGACACTTTGGTCTCTACAGGTGTTCAATAAACTGCTAAGTCTGGCTAGTACTGCTTCATCTCAGAAGTTCCAGTCACATATGTGGAGTCAGATGTTGGTTTCCACATCTGGGTTTTTGAAATCCATCTCTAATGTCTCTGGCAAAGACATCCAGCCTTTAATAAAGCAGTGGGTGTATCCTTTTCAATAGCAGTTCAACAAAGGGGGAGGGGAGGATAAGGTGCATGTGTTTGGGGAAGTGGAAGAAAAGAGATTTGAGGGACTAAAGAGGGTTTTAGCTATCTAACTTCTAAATGATAGTAAAAATATCCATGAACTATGAATCATTTGCTCTAAGGTACCCACCTATTATTGAGATATACATACACACCGATCTGTATATTTAAAGTTTGTCATATTTTGAAGCACTTTCAGTGTGTGAGTAAAGCAGTAGGTTTGATGGGGAGGTAACTAACCCACCAGACAGGGCTGTAGGATTATCTGTAAGCTGCACTGACCTGAGGACTTTTAGATGGGGTAAGAGGTTGGCACAACTTGAGTGGTCTCTTAGAAATTTTTCATTTAAAAAATACTATTGTAAAATAATAATAATAATATTAATAATAATAATAATACTATTGTATACTAGTAACCTTAGTATAATGACTTTGCTTTTTTTCCACAACAAATTTCTTAATGTTTCAGAAATTTTGTTTGAATCTGGAGAAGCATTTCCATAAGAAATATAAGTACTTTGCCACCTGGTTTGCAGTGAAGTGTGCTTCTCAAGCTTTGAATTCTTGGGGTGGGGGAAAACATTTGAAAATTACTACCTTTATGAACAACTTATTTTGGTAACTACATATTCAATTCCTTATGTAATGATTCCTTTACAATTCTTCAGAGACCAGAGTGGAGTGGTAAAATTTTATGGAAGTTTTGCATTTAATAGAAAACGAAATGTTTTAGAATTGGAAATAAAACAAGATTATACATCTCCTGGAACTCAGAAATATGTGGTAAGTGTATTTTCCAAAGTAGTCTTCTGCATTATCTTACCCTTTCAGTACAGGATGAGCATAAGACTGGGGAGGTGGTTAGAAGCTGTACAAGGAGGTTTTGTTTGGTGAGAACTAAACTGGGAAATCACTAAGTGTCAGTGAAAGGAAAGAAGGCTACAAATAGAGATTTCAGTGGGCTCCAGTCCTCCCAGCCCCTCTACCCTTTGGCGGTAACAGCCTTTCTGTGTCTCCAGATGTGCGTTTTGTATAATACTACTTTATGTTTTGGTTTATATACCTATTTACGTATAAATCCTGGTGTGACATTGTAGAATAAGCCCTGAACCACAGTTTAAATCCATCAGGTACTCCTGAGAAATCCTGTATGGGGTCATCATGAGTTGATGACACTAAACAACAGGACATAAACAGGGACTTATGTTGTGGTGCTTTAGGATCAGCACTGGACAGCAAACCACAAGGTCTGAAGTTCAAACCCACTAGCCTTCTCCTCGAAAACCATATACAGGATCTCTGTGAGTCAGAACCGACTCAAAGGCACTTAACCAACAACATTATACATTGAGGTGTACGATGATTAAATCAGTTGGGTGCTAGCCAAAAGGTCGGTAGTTTGAACCTGGCATCTGCTCCTAGGGAGGAAAATGGCAGCAATCTGCTTCCATAAAGGTTATGTTGTTGTTAAGTGC